TGCCATCTGCAGCGCTGGCTTTTGGGAAGTGGACAGCTGTCTTGCTGGGAATTGCACTGATATACTCCACCTCATTTCCCACCGGTGACAGAACAGCTATCAACTCTTAAGAGCTTTTTGATCACTATCACGGTCATTCCATTAGAAATCCTGCCATCACATTCAAGCTTCTCTTTGCCTTTAAGACCCTTCACAAATCTGCTCCTCCCTGCTCATTCGTTCTTGATTCTTATCACATCTAGCCTCCATTTCATAGATTTTAGGGCCAGAAAGAATCACTGTGATCATTTAGTTTGTTTCGCCAACAAATGGCTCCGTGCTTTCTTTCAGGATGCCCCTTGTACATAAAATGCTGTCATTGAATGAATCTGTAAAGCCACTAATCTCGCCTCCTTCCTATCCCTTCTCCAGAGCCACTTCTGCTGTGATATTTACAAGAAATCAGCCAAGCAATGAAGGCTAGGTGGTGTGGAGCTTGGGGATTAGATGGATTTTATAAACACTTAGATGATTTAGAACCACTGTGTTGTGCAATTGCTAATCTGTGTAACTATGTAATCTTATTGTTTCTTGCATCTCCCCCTCACACTTCCTTTCTGTTTGTTACTCACACGTTGCATCTTGTATACAATAGAATGTAAGCACTTCAGGGTAAGCGCTGCAGCTTCCTATACATTTGCACAGTGCCTAGCAGGATAGGGTCTGATTTCATTTGGGGCCATTGGGCATTACCAAAATCCAGCAAAAGAGAAATGCAGGCCTTGTTTTGGAATCTTTTAATCAGCGAGGAACCTCAGGGGTTAGGTGTAGAGCTAGTTGGAAATTTTTCAATGGGTCATTTTCCTATGGGAAAATGCTGATTCACTGCTGTTGAAATGTTCCCTGGGAACATGTGAATTGCCTCTGTTCTTCCTCAGAACATAGGCAGGTTTCAAAACTAGCATGGAGTCTTGCCATCCTCAGTAGCCTCAGTGGCGGACTGCCCTGGAGTTGGGACGCTTGGGCATCCAGGCCCTATGGCTGCACTGCAAGGCGTCTGGGAGCCAGGGCCAAGCTGAGAGCTTCTTGGAAGCCAAAGCTCTGAAGATATTTTGATTAGAAATTTTCTAAATGAAACATTCTGGTTATTTCAAAATGTTTTTTTCAGAATTGCCCTTCTGCAGGAAATTTTGAAGTTGCTACTTTTCATTTTGAAAGTGACTTTTTTCTCCAAAAATGTTGGAATTTCTCACAGAAAGGAGCATTCTGACTTTCAAACAACTCTGGTTAGGAATTGATGGGGTTGTCACTTGAGGCATATGTATAGGGATAATGTCTCCACAGAATTTGCTGGGAGTTATGTACATTGGTATGGCTGACACTGCTGTCAGTTGATAAGTGCACAGTTACCTGGTTCATTCCCAGCACAGCTGATAATTGTGGGCAGTTGAGTTTTCGTTAGTGATTGTCACAAGGCTCAAAAAAGACCAGTTATGGTCTGTCTGGTGAACTAGTTGCTAGTGCAAAGTATGCCGGCAGGAGGCCTGTGTTCAGTTTCTGGCCCCAGTCTCCCATTGTGTGGACTAGATGCCTATTTGGAAAAATACAAGAGAAGAGAGAAGGTTGACTTGGTCTCGGGTTAGTCCCCGGGATGAATAATTATCTAATAAATATGGAGTGTATCTTATCAGTAAAGAATGGCTTTCCTCTGAGAGCACCACAACACAGCTCTGGGAATGCTGGCTGTGCACTGGAAGGGGTGCAGTTTTAGTCTGGACTGAACACCAGATGCACCTGCACAGCAAAGCTGGCCACCAGAAGGGGGCGCTGCTAGATGGACACATCTACCCGAGTGTTTGGTCACCAGTGGGCAGGCATGCGGCAACAGGACTTGAAGAGAAGCAGTTGTGACTTTGAGAGAAGGTGCTTACTGCATCTTTCAATGCTTCTCTTGCTGAGTTTTATTTTGTAAGGCCCCAGAACATTTTGAAAAGACATTTCTGAACTTACTGGAAAGAAAGGCCTGAGTATGCAGACAGTATTGGGGCTGCGGGAGTTCTCAACCAACAGAATGCAAACACAGCTCCTACAGAGGGGGAGGGGAGGGGGAGTTAGAAAGCCTTAGAGAAATGACCTAGAAGAACCTCAGCCCTGGACTGTGTCCTCCCCTCTACTACATGGTGAGGACTCCCCGACCCCTCTCCTCTCCAGACAGTGATAGCTCCCTGTGCCTTGTCTTCCCTGGATAGGAATAGTTCCTCTGATCCTTCTCATAACTCCTGTCCTCCCTCAGACACTGTCCTGTCCTCCCCCCACCCCATCTCCTACTCCTAACTCTAACTAGCGGGTATATAGATCAGTTTTCTCTTGAAATCATGTGAAAATGGAGGAATGATATGAAAACTCATTGGCCCAGGTCTCTCAGCTGTGCTGAGAAGAAACCAAGTAACAGCACATAGAATAACTGCTGGCAGTTCCCCTGATCACCCTCAGGAACATTAATGACATGCACTGCACTGAAGCTCTCAGTGGCGATGTTACACCTACACACGTCTCAGGCAACAACCCTATTGCTCTCTAATCCTCAGAGTTTCTTGGTTGATTAAATCATTCTTAAGTTGGGGTCTGAATGGCTCAGAGAATTTTCTAATGATTTTGTAGTCTTTCACTTGTAGGTCAACCAGTTTGATATTGACCCAAAGGCTGCAGCACCCGAAGGCTGGTCATTGGCCTATGTAAAACGGTGTGGCTTTGCAGGTATCCTGCCCTCAGCTCCCTCTGGCTTCTTGCAATAATTCGCTCCCATGCCAGAATTCTTAAAGTAAGATCCCCCTAGTTGGTATCATTTATTAATTCTTATTGGCACTTTGTCCACCCAGTTCCAAACCTTGTTCCATGTAAATCAGGAGTCCTACAGCCATGCTTCTTTGGCTTGTGCTGTGATTAAAGCAGGGGTTTTTCTCCATGACTGAGGAGTCGCACGGCCCCCTGCTGGGGGGCTATACTGTGATTAGAGCCAGTTTCCAGCTCTACTTCACAAAGCACCTCTTTTCTCCTTTGGTTCAGGGGGGCCCACAGCCCTCCTGGGGCTCTGCTTGGCAGACAGGCAGTCTCCTTTCTGAGCTGTCTGCCTTTTCTCCTCCTTTTAGCTTTCTGGGGGCTTCTCTCTTATCTCTAGGTCTGGACTGACTTTTAAGCACATGACCTACCTGTTATGTGGCTACACTAATTTTTCCCACCTGAGGAGGAGGAGGATTGAATGAGTCATAGGTGAGGCTGGACTCATTACCTCATAAAGGGGCCAGTCGCCCTGTGACAGTGGGTCTCAGTTCATTGCCTAGTGGGACAGGTGCGCACTTCATAAAAAACATCATGACAGTGGGCGCTGGTTGGTCATCTTAATGGCTCTCATATAAGAGTGAGTGGGCCATGGGCACTCATCTGTCTTCCCTATGTTCAGTACTACCTTGATCCTTCTCCTTTTTCAGAAACAAATAGCAGATTAACCTCCTCTCCCCACAATAATTTTCCTTCCCTTTATGCCGTTTTTAGGTAAATTTCCTCCCTCTACCATCTTCCCTCTGCCCATTATTTGGATGCCTTTTCTCCTTTGGAAGTCTTCCTTCTCTCCCAAACAAATCCTTCTCTCACTCACCTCCCACCAGTACCTCACCTCCAGTGCAATTTCATACTGTATAGAGAGAGGCATCATGTTACAGAGCAGGGAGGTTTTACGCTCTCTCTCTATGGCATTGTTAAGACCACACCTGACATTCTGCAGTCAGTTCTGGGTATCATGTACCATAAAGCTGTCCAGTTCAGAGGGCGCCTGAGGAAGGAAGTTAGAAAGCAGCATCTGAACAAGGGACTGGAGAAACTGATTTGTAATGATAGATTTTTAAAAAAGTGAATTGGTCAGATTCATTTCTGGTGTAACTCTACTCAAGTCAATGGAGTTACACCAGGATGAACTTGGGACAATGTGTATAGCTCGGCTAAGCAGTGATTAAGACATGATAAATCTCTACAGATATTTGAAGGATGTAATAGTAATTGTTTGGGAGGGGGAGGGTTGAACTTGATTAGGGTGATGAAGTTATTCCCTTTTAAAATCTTTTTCTCCATCCTCATGTCTCTTCCTGTAACTTACACTCCAGTATACAGACACAGGGTCCTTGTTCCAAACCCCCACTCAGCATGACTGACTATATCTCTACCCTCAGCTTTCCGTTTTATTCTCACCCTTTATGCTTCCAGAAGCCAAATTTGAATGTATTTCAATAGATCTCTTGTGCCTTTTGACTGTAAATCAGGCAATTCTGTATTATATCAAATGCTTCCCTGAATCCCAGATATCTTATGTCTGCCAGTTCCTTAATATACAGCAACCGTTCAGTTGAAGAGGGGCAGGTGTAACAGCTGAGAACACTCCTCTTTGTTTCTCTCACTAGCCAGTTAAAAGGGCACCCTCAAATCCCTGTTTGCTAAACTGAGATTTCTGGGGGCATGAACCATGGAGAGCACCATAAGGTTATAAGATTATTTCAATACCTTACTTGCCTCATCTGTCCTATATTGCCTGAGATTCAGCAAAGTGGGGGTCAGTGCTACTTCTTTCAGAACTAAAGGACTTCTTCCTCCTGTATTTTTCATAGTATTACTTGTTTCCAGTAAGCTGATTTGTAGTCACGCTACCCTTCATCTCCCTCATTACCACTGAGTACCAGCTCGATCCAGGTCCTCCTGGTAGTGCAGTGTGCAGGAAACCTGCACTGCTGCTGCCTGATTGCCAGCCTCTTAATCACCAATCTGTCAGCTTTCACCAGCACTAAGATTAATGCTAGGAAGAATGAAACCACCTAAAGTTTTTTGCATCTCTGGTTAATCCCGTCATCAAAAGGGATACGTCTCATTTCTCGACTTCTCTCTTGTTGATGTTGTTAATTTACTCGTATTCCTCCCAATGAGATGAGACCCAGTGATGGCCTTATTGATTTTCTGCCTGTCTTTGTTCCTTTCAGAGTTCCGGCTGGGGACTGTGTGGAAGGATGGCTGCTGCGGAACCCCTGACTGCCTTCTCACGGTGGTACCTCTATGCCATTCATGGCTATTTCTGTGAGGTGATGTTTACGGCTGCCTGGGAGTTTGTGGTCAACTTTAACTGGAAGTTCCCAGGTGTCACCAGTGTCTGGGCGCTCTTCATCTATGGGACCTCCATCCTCATCGTGGAGAAGATGTACCTGTATCTGAAAGACAAGTGTAACATTTTAGTGCGATGCCTCATTTATACCCTCTGGACATACCTTTGGGAGTTCACCACTGGCTTCATCCTGCGCCAGTTTAACGCCTGCCCTTGGGACTATTCACAGTTTGATTTTGACTTCATGGGCCTCATCACCCTAGAGTATGCCATCCCATGGTTCTGTGCTGCGTTCATCATGGAGCAGCTGGTTATCAGGAACACCTTGCGCTTGCGATTTGATGAAAATGCTGAGCCAGGGGACCCCACCGCCACAATCGCCTTGGCCAACGGCCATGTCAAAACCAATTGAACAATAACCCAATGCCACACTTAAAGTGAGAGAGCCCACCCACATCCCAGACTGGTCTCAAAGACTGATACATCCTGTACGATACACAATCCCCTTTATGATGGGGGCATGCATGGGATATAGCAGAATAAAAATGGAACCAATAGATTTTCTATGGATTTTATGTTTTTGGCCACAAGAAGCAGTGTCAGCTACTTGTTGGTTAGGTAGTTTCTGACTTCTAAATTATTATGGGGGAAAAAAAGTCCTGTTAGCTGCATTTTACTGGATGTGGAGAAATGAGAGAAAATGCTACAGTTGAAATGTATACAAAAAACAAACTAGTGGATGGGCATAGACGCCCCGGCTAAATTAGTGATTTGGCTTATTCCATTAGGCAATATTCAGGTGCTTGCTTGCAACCAATACCTCCCATGGGACCTGAGATGCTGCAGGATCAAGGAAAATCCATCTGCTGTTGAGAACGACCCAACAGTGGTGCTCTACTGGGAAGGTAGACAGCGCCCCCTCTTGTGGTCTCCCTGACCTTCCCCTAAGGTTCTTTACTGCACCATAGTATGTTATGGTGCTGGACAGCTTGCTGGATTTATATGAAACTTGTACTTTTTGAATTCTCAGTCCTGATGCTCACTCGAGAGTTTTCCCCACTCCTTTTTATAAATAAAAGGCCTTTTCTGCCGGGTGAATTCCACCATACTCTGTGCAATCTGAATCACGGCAAAGTGGCCAAAGAGAGAAATAGCTGAAGTCTTCCCCTCACAGTGGAACTCATCACAAGGGCTGCTCCAAGCTCCAGCTCCATTTCCAACCAGGCAAACCCAATGGAGATGTAGACGCCACCTGGGGTTTTCTGCCTTCCTTCCCAGGGATTTCTCTGTCACTAAGGATGCTGATGACTTAATTCTGACTGCAGCCCCTTGCACTGCCTGATGTCAAAGTCCTCATTTGACTAAGGCAGCAACCAGGAATCAGTTGGAGTCCTCTGGGACAGACTATATCGCCTGTGTCTATTTCCTCCTGCACCAGTTGATCTTGTCTCAGCTTGGCCCAGTGTTCTTCTCCGAGTACTAACTTTATTTTCCCTTCCCAAATGCTATTTTAAACTAAGTACAGCAAACCCTCTCCATAAAGCTGATTTGGGGCAGCACAGGATGTGCCTCACTGCCTGATATCAGGGAGTATGTTAAAAAAGAAAGTTTCTAAGGAGCACAGTAGGGCTATTCCTCAATTTCTTTCAGATGAGGATGGGGTTAGGTTGTGAGAAGAAAGGTGGAAGGGCTGCAAGGTACTGTTGCTCTATTTTAGAGCTATCTCAGCTAGAGATAGTTTCAAATTTAGCCACTTAGGAACAATCCTGAGGCTGTGGGGGAGGTGGTGGCATGAAAGATGCATAGCTCTGGCAGCAACACATTAACTGTTTGTCCTGAGGACTCTTCTTGGCTGCTGGCATAAGCAACAAGGATGCATTGTACCACATGGCAGTCTTCTCTCACTCAGAACTTTATGAGGAGGGTGTGCTGTAAATAGGTATATGGGGCCAGATTAATTCCAGGTGTCATTCCACCAAAGTCAGTGGCATTGCATCAGCAATGAATTTGGTTCAAGATGTGAATGTGTGTGTGATTGTGGAGTCTCGCTTTTCTGTTGTGTTGGGAATGGCTGGATTATTACCATGTTGGTCCACGACTGTTCTCTCTAGCCAACACTCAGCCCATAAATCTGCCCATTGGTCTGTGGAATTCCATTCCAGAGGGAAAAGAAACTCTGTTGCTATCAATGGAATTGTTTGTTGGTAACGCTGCTGCTTCTGAACAAGAATCAACACACACAGTGTTAATTTTTTTCTGTACTGCACAAAATGCAATTGTTTTATTCCTCCCTATGCCCCATTTCACATGACAACCTTTGCCGGCAACGGACATGTGAAAGCAGTGGCAGCAAGGAGTTAATGAGCTCTGTCCTGTGGTATGCAATGCCTCCTGAAATACCCAGAACATAGAGAGAGGTATTAGTATTCCCTTTTTGTAGTTCATTAAATTAAACCAACAAACAAAAAACAGAGAACAGAAACGTGTTTTCCATGCTATGATGCCAGTACCATGAAATCAAAGAAATAATAGGTTCAATTTATCAGCCAGGTAAATGATGGTTTCAAATATTTAGATCTCAGCAAAATAATCACTTTGGGTATACAAATGCTATGGATGGGTAATTTGCACATGAGGGCAATTCATAGGCAGTAGAGTCAGATATTAGGGGGTGAGTGAGGGAGAGGAGGTGCAGACAGGAACTGGGACATGCCTATCCATTGTGGCAGTTGCATTCATGAAGAGAATGTGTGAGGGTGACTAACCTCAGTGTCTAAATCCAAGGACCTTCTAGCTGCCCAGTTTAACTCTGGTGTAGCACTGCCTTCCGTGCAGCACGCAACGTCTGCGTCAGGTCACGCCCTCACTTTGGAGCAGGTTGCACTGGAACCCTGCCATTACAGAAACATTAAGAAGGTTTAAGTGGCTTAGTGAATTGGCAGCACAACCAATGACCCCACAGTTATGACTCCGTGGTGGGGGCAGCTATCCATTGTGGTGACCAGCACCTCGATCATGTGTTCTTTGGCTTTAGAAACTCCCCAAGTGCGACTGTTCTTGCACAGCTGCATAACAATCAGTGGCTCACTTAAGGAACGGTCCCTGAGTGGCCTTTGACATGTGGCTATATCATGCAAATCAGACTCAGTTGCCCCCGAGTTACCATTGTGGCACCTATTCAAGCTTCTTGTTCACCAATGACTGACAAATACCGCTCAGCTCTTGCACCCTCACAGGGCCCTAATTTACCCACAAAAGTGCACTTTACTTGCAGTTTGCACACCAGGAACTGAATTGGACCCAGTACATTATTAAATCACTGTGTAGCATCCACTGGATCACTCTCCTACTATTACTGGGTACCCTGGCACCTTCCAACAAAGACACCATTGGCCAGATTTCCAAAAGTGCTGAGTGCTCTCCAGTTCCTGTTTTCAATGGCACCTGCTAGGTGCTGAGCACTTCTGAAAAGCTGGCTCTGTATCTGCTGCTACACCATGCAGGGCTCATTTCTCTTTCTGAAGAGCAATGGTGGCTGCAGTCAGAGATTTAATCTCCCCTTCAATACAAGTGAATACTACCGATAACATTTTACAACAAGGGTGCCCAAACTACATGACAGCAAGGCCCACATTAGCAGCTCCTCAGGAGCCTGGGAGCTATACCTAATGTGCAGAGACATTTACATACAAAATTTATCACACACCCCCAACCCCACACACAAAGGCCTAATATTTACTTGTACATGTATCTTCAATAGATTAAAATTGCCTGTTTGAGTTCACCAGCAATAAAAACTTGTGATTTATCAGTTTTGTCCTCACTCTGCAGCTTTTGGGAGAGGGTGGCCCAGAGCTGCATATTTGGAGACGATGGGCCACATTTAGCCCTTGGGCTTCACTCTGGATACCTCTATCTTATATTTCAAGAGCACCTTTCATCCCAAAGGATCCCCAAGCACATCACAAAATATATACACTGGTGCCTTGTGCATGAGAGCTGGCTCTAGCACCAGCGTGGTGATCGTTCCTGCTTCGAAGAACTTGCTAGTGCAGAACGGTTGATATTAAAGCAAAGTTAGCTAAACTGTTTGTTTAATTTCAGCATTATGATCTAGATGCAGGGATACCAATGTACCAGGTTCTGGAAAGTCTTCCCACTGCTTCTGATCTAAGTCTGTTTTGTAATTGAAATCCTCCTTGCGTAGAGATAATCCTGTCAAGGCTTTGCTTGAACTACAAATAGTTGTTTAAAAATAAAAGTAAGTGAAGAAAGACTGAAAGCTTGAACAGGTTTGGAATTAGCAAGCAGGTAACCTGAGACCTCCTGGGTGCAGCAGCATTGATTGTCAGTAACCAATTTACCAAAACCTGCACTAAGGGAAAAGGGATCTCATATTTAATTTGAACTTCTACCCTTTCTGCATTATGAATATAGTACACAAGTCACTAGTAAGATGAGACTTTCAGATGAGTTTAAACAAAACGTCCTTTTGTTTTAGCCTGGCCTGACTTTTCTGAATTGATGCAACATACCATGCAAGAGGTAAGTTTACAGACCAGTGCTCTCTCTGCTTCCAGTTCCTCCTGGCTTCTAACCAGGATCCTCTACTAACAAACAAAATGCTTCTTTCCCCCTTTCCTGTACAATAGAAGGATCCCATTACAATCCCTGCTTTTGCTTCATATCTGATATATTAAAACAGAAAGTGTCACTGCTTTTATGGAGCCCCTTCCAAGTCAACTGCTGGTCCTACAATGCAACACCTCCATCCAATTGCTTCAGCATCCACCCATCACGGAGCTGTGGAGAACTCTAAGAGCCTAGTTCAAGTTTTAGCAAATAGCTAATTACATTTCTGTCTCTTATTACCCCAAAATGTGCTTTTCATGATCTGGAGCCATTGAGAAGGGGCTTTCCACAATCTTCGTGTAACCCACACTTGCAGCGTGTGCCATTCTAACACTGGCTAGAGCAGGGGTGGGCAAACTACGGCCCGGAGGCCACATCCAGCCCGTCAGACCTTTTAATCCGGCCCTCAAGCTCCCGCCGGGGAGCAGGGTCCAGGGCTTGCCCCACTCTGGCGCGCCAGTCGGGGAGCGGGGTCGGGGGCTTGCCCCACTTCGTGCATTCCGTGGCTCCGCATGGCTCCCGGAAGAAGCAGCATGTCCCCCCTTCGGCTCCTACACGTAGGGGTAGCCAAGGGGCTCTGCATGCTGCCCCCGCCCCAAGCGCCACCCCCACAGCTCCCATTGGCCAGGAGCCATGACCAATGGGAGCTGCAGGGGCGGCGCCTGCGGATGGGGTAGTGTGCAGAGCTGCCTGGCTGCGCCTCCATATAGGAGCTGGAGGGGTGACATGCCACTGCTTCTGGGAGCTGATTGAGGTAAGCACCGCCTGGAGCCTGCACCCCTGACCTCCTCCCATGCCCCAACCCCAGCCACAGCCCTGATCCCCCTCCTGCCCTCCAAACCCCTGGATCCCACCCCGGAGCACCCTCCTGCACCCCAAACCCTCATTCCCAGACCCACTCCAGAGCCCACACCCCCAGCCAGAGCCCTCCCCCCCTGCACCCCAACCCCTTGCCCCAGCCCAGATCCCCCTCCTGCACACTGAACTCCTCATTTCTGGACCCACCACAGAGCCCACACACCCCAGCCGGAGCCCTTACCCTCTCCCACACCCCAACCCCCAATTTCATGAGCATTCATGGCCCACCATACAATTTCTATACCCAGATGTGGCCCTTGGGCCAAAATGTTTGCCCACCCCTGGTCTAGAGGGTGGGCCAGGCACAGAGGTTGATAATTCCCTTTTAGCTCAGCCAGTAAAGATTCATGCTTTCTGATCCAGTACTCTCTGCTTCAACCCCCACTGTCAATAACCCACGCAGGGGCATCATGTTATGTGCACATCAATGTGATTAGCTTCCCTTATCTCT